GAGTGCACAATCTATTATCAAAAGTTGAAAGATTGAATCCCCTAAATACGTATATTTTGTTTTTCTAAACTTGAAAAATTTTGTCATAAAACATAATAAAATCTCTTTAAAAAACTTGTTAATTCTTTTTCATAAATTTCAGTAAAAATTTATTTATATGAAAATGTGTTCTAAAATTTTGGGCTAATATAAATAGGTTTGGTTATATGAAGAATATTTTTGTGAATATTGGGCCGATTTGTTGTGAAATTGGGCTAATAATTGATTTTGGCCGATTTTTTGAAGAATTTTTGTTAATAATTGATTTGACCTAATATAAAGAGGTTTGGTTATATGCATAATATTTTTGTGAATATTGGGCCGATTTTTGAAGAGTTTGATGTGAATGCTATGTCATATTGGCTAGATTTTATTGTGCTTGTGAAATTGGGGTAATAAATGATTTTGGCCGATATTTTAGAATTTGAATTGAAGATTTCCATACTTAAAACTTTTGAATTAATGATGTATAAATTTCGAATATTTGTTTGAATATTCTTAAATACCATTGACGAAGAATTTTAAATTTTATAATTTAAAGGAGTATTTGTATTATTTTTTTTGTATTGTTGAGAATTCTTTTGGTAAAATCTAATTGTTGTTAATCTTCTTATAATGGGCTCTATATTTTATTGCTCTGATTTTTTGGAGTTAAATATATTTATCTTATTTTAATTCAAGTTTGGTTTAAGTATGATAGATATATTTAAGTATGATAAATATATTTATCACAATTTTAATTAAGAAAAATTAATCAATTGAAGATGTTTGGTTTGCTTCGATTTTTTTGGAGTCAATTGAAGAGGTTTGGTTTGGTCTTCACGATTTTTTGAAGAGATTTTTTGAAGATTTTGGTGTATGCCATGTCATATTTTTGACAATGTCATGTCACATTAAAATTGTGAGAATGAATTTGGTGAGGACACATAAGCTCTTTTCAAAAAATTGCTCTCCAATTAATATATAAGGGATTTGTTTGGCATCATTTAAGTTAAGAATTTAAATTAAAAAGTTGTAATAATATTTTAGTGTTTCTGATGCAGTT